TACCAAAAATGGGCATTTTATCGAACAAGTTGTGGGCATTATGAAATCTTCATACATTTGCCAAAAATTACTATGTCACATGGATCCCCATTCAAAAATCAATTACCAATCTCATACACATTCATCAATCAAATAAAGTCAATACAACAGGTATCAAAATGCCCACAAATTATCAATGTGGCAATGTATCAAACACTTAGCATACATTCTTTAGAAGTCCATATAAAACCCAATACTTCAAAATTCGAATTAACCCATAACACAATTGAATTTCAAATAGTACACTCCATCCACCATCTACGCCCCAATCACCTCAAATTGCAAAAAAAAACAAATCAAAAATGACCTAAACAAACGAGGCATAAGGAAGGAGGTTGTCATAAGTCATACCTTCAAGACGATGTGCTTGAAATGGATGCTTGCCTTGATGAATTTATGCCGAGGTGATTATGAATTTCGTGGGTTTATGTGTGAAATGGGGGTCCCGGGCCCTAAAAATGTCGAAGAATGGAGTGATTTTATGCGTGAAGGGATGGGTGTCGAAATACAATTCGATTGAGGGATAATGTAGAAGTAATTGAGATGTGAAATTAGTAAAATTATTTGAGGAATTGTTGGCCTAGCTGCTCATGTTCATGAATTGGGGGAGTGAGAGTGTGAATGAAGAGTGAATCGGTCATGGCTTTAACCATGGTCGATCCACTTCTATGCGGCCGCATAGTTAAAAGATACGCGGTCGCAAAGTTATATTTTTTTTTGTAACTTTTTCTTTCGGTTGGTGTTTATGCGACCGCATAGACACCGTGTCTATGTGATCGCATAAACATTTTTTTTTCAAAAGAAATAAAATAAAATAAAACAATGCTACTTTCCCCAAAAATTCGATTTTTGTCCAAATTTTTTTTTAATAAATGACCCGGCTCTCAACGTCCCCAATTTTTCAAAGACATACTTTTAAAACATTGACATGTGAAATTTAGAAAACATAATTTGCCTCGAAATGTGTGAATTCCACACTCAACTACCCAAACAACTCAAATCAACCCGAACTCGTGTGTGATACTTAAGGACTCGTGTGAACAGTGCTTGGACTCTTTTAACATGCCTAGATGATCGATGACCACATAACAAAATACTAAATGAATTTGAAAATAAACTTCCTAATCTAATGCAGAAAGCATAATAAAGTAAATAAATAGATAAAAAGGATACAGTGGGTTGCCTCCTACCCAGCGCTAAGTTATAGTCGATAGTTCGACTTTTCTGCAGCTGCTTCATTCTGGCGTCTCGAGTTGAACGGTTGACTTTTGTTTAGAGAAGTCACCGCCCCAGTAGTGTTTCAACCTTTGCCCATTAACAGTGAAAGTACCCTTAGTCTCATAGCTCACTTGTGTAGCCCCATATGGTAGGACTTTTGTAACTGTGTAGGGACCCGACCACCGTGATCGTAGTTTTCCTGAGAATAGCTTGAGTCTCAAGTTATACAGTAGTACTTGTTGCCCCACTTCGAATACTCGCCTCTGAATGTGCATATCATGCACTTCTTGGTTCGCTCCTTGTAAAGTTTTGCATTTTCATAAGCCTCCATTCTAAATTCATCCAACTCATTCAGTTGCAGTAGACGCTTTTCACCGGCGGCATTCAAGTCCATATTTAACTGTTTGATAGCCCAATATGCCCGGTGCTCCATTTCTAATGGCAGATGGCATGCTTTCCCAAAAACTAGGCGATATGGAGACATGCCTATCGGTGTCTTGAATGCTGTTCTGTAAGCCCACAATGCATCGTCTAGCTTTTTAGACTAGTCTTTTCTAGATGAGTTCACTGTGACTTCGAGTATCCTTTGCAACTGCCGATTAGATACTTCAACTTGCCCGCTAGTTTGTGGATGATATGGGGTAGCGACACGGTGTTTAACACCATATTTATTTAACAGCTGCTCAAACTGGCGATTACAGAAGTGTTTACCCCCGTCACTGATTATAGCTCACGGTGTGCCATATCGAGTGAAAATATATTTCTTCAGAAACCCAATTACTGCCTTTGAGTCATTTGTTGGCAGTGCAACTGTTTCCACCCATTTTGATACGTAATCCACTGCTACCAAAATATACTGATTTGAGAATGAAGGGAGGAAAGGTCCCATGAAGTCAATTCCCCAAACATCAAATATTTCCACTTCCAAAATGTTGTTTAGTGGCATTTCATTCCTCCTCGAAATATTCCCAGCGCGTTGACATCCGTCACACCTCTTGACAAACTCAAATGTGTCTCAAAACAGTGTAGGCCAGTAGAACCCGAATTGTAGAATCTTTGCAGCTGTTTTTGAAGCTCCAAAGTGTCCTGCATATGCGGATGAGTGACAGTGCTCGAGAATCTCATGTACTTCTTCTTCAGGTACGCATCTCCTCACTATCTGATCAGCTCCTTGCCTATAGAGAATTGGATCCTCCCAGAAATAGTATTTTAACTCGGCAAAGAATTTTTTTCTTTGGTGACTGGACCAGTCAGGCGGTGGAATGGAACTGGCCAAGTAATTGACAATATCTGCGTACCAAGGTGCTTCATCCACTCTCAACATCTGTTCATCCGGGAAGATCTCATTTATATCCACTAAATCTTCCGTCTCCCCAGGTTCTAGTCGGGATAGGTGATCTGCTACTACGTTCTCGGTGCCCTTCTTGTGGCGTATCTCAATATCAAATTCTTGCAACAACAGCAACCAACGAATTAATCTCGGCTTTGCATCCTTCTTTGTGAGCAGATACTTCAATGCAGCATGATCAGTATAGACGATGACTTTAGACCCGACGAGGTATGACCTGAATTTTTCGAATGCAAATACCACAGCCAATAGCTCCTTTTCAGTGGTTGCATAATTTATTTGTGCATCATTTAGAGTTCTTCTTGCATAGTAGATCACATGAAAAATCTTGTTCCTCCGTTGTCCCAATACTGCACCTACAACGTGATCACTTGCATCACACATCAATTCAAAAGGCAATTCCCGGTCTGGTGCTACAATTACTGGTGCTGTCGTAAGCTTTTCCTTTAAAGTGTTGAAGGCTGTGAGACAATCCTCATTGAACTCAAAGATTACATCTTTCATTAGCAAATTGCACAAAGGTTTAGTGATCTTCGAGAAATCTTTTATAAACCTCCGGTAGAACCCAGCGTGCCCCCAAAAAACTGCGAACTCTTTTAACTGATGTAGGCGGTGGTAATTTCTCAATCACTTGAATTTTTGCCTTGTCTACCTCAATTCCTTTTGCCAATATCCTATGCCCAAGTACAGTGCCTTCCTGCACCATAAAGTGGCATTTTTCCAATTTAAAACCAGGTTAGTCTCCTTGCATCTCTGTAAGACCAAATTCAAGTGGTTTAGACATTCATCAAATGAAGATCCAAATACTGAGAAGTCGTCCATGAAAACCTCGATAAACCTTTCTATCATATCAGAGAATATTGCCATCATACACCTCTGAAATGTGGCTGAAGCGTTGCAAAGACCAAAAGACATCCTACGATAAGCAAAAGTACCGTAGGGGCAAGTGAAAGTGGTCTTCTTCTGATCCTCTGGTGCGATAGGTATCTCATTATAGCCCGAGTATCCATCAAGAAAGCAGTAGTGTGAATGTCCAGCCAACCTCTCCAACATCTGATCAATGAATGGGAGTGGGAAGTGATCCTTTCGTGTAGCTGCATTGAGTTTGTGATAGTCAATGGAAACTCTCCAACCCATAACTATTCTGGTGGGAATTAGTTCATTCTTCTCATTTTCACCACTGTGATTCCCCCTTTTTTCGGTACCACTTGAACAGGGCGATCCATGCACTATCCGAAATTGGGTAGATAATTCCTGCATCTAATAACTTCAGTATCTCTGCCCTGACCACTTCCTTCATGTTTGGGTTCAATCTTCTCTGACTTTCTATGCTGGGCCTACAATTTTCCTCCATTAAAATTTTATGCATACACAGGGAAGGACTGATTCTTTAATGTCAGCTATTGTCCAACCAATCGCCGTCTTGTTCTCTCTAAGTACCCTGAGCAGTTTTTCTTCCTCCATCTCACTGACTGTGTTCGAAATGATTACTGGAAGTGTATCTGACTCTCCTAAATAAGCATATCTGAGATGTGGCGGTAGTTGTTTGAGTTCTAAAACTGGCGGCTGCTGAATGGAAGGTAGTGGCTTTTTATTTCCTGTCCCCAGTTCCTCGAAGTGTTTCGTTCGGGTGTATGGCGGGTTTGTCTCCAAAAATCTTGCACATGTTTCAACTTCAAAAGAATTTGACTGAACTAATTGGGATTGTGCAATGCATGTCTCATAGGCGTTAGATGGGCCGTGAAGTAGGAATGTATCCTGCACTGCTTTATTAATAATGTCAACTTGGTAACAACTGTCTGATTCTGCTGGCATTTTCATGGCTTTAAATACATTGAAAGACACCAGCTCCTCGCCCAATCTCAAAATCAACTACCCCCTTTGAACATTAATGAGTGCTCTTCCTGTTGCCAGGAATGGTCTGCCAAGTATCAATGGGACGTCCTTATCTTCTTCCATGTCCAAAATGAGAAAGTTCGCTGGGAATATGAACTTTTCGACCTTAATGAGTACATCTTCAATTATCCCTCTGGGGTGTTTCAGTGATCTATCCGCTAGCTGAAGTGTCACAGTAGTGGCTTTAGCTTCCCCCAAGCCAAGTTTCCTAAAAACAGACAGAGGCATTAAATTAATACTTGCACCAAGGTCACATAATGCTTTATCGAAATAAAATTCACCAATAGTGCAGGGAACAGTAAAACTCCCTGGATCTTTCAGTTTTGGTGGGAGCTTATCTTGGATTCTGGCACTGCATTCCTCTGTAAGCATTACTGTCTCATGGTCCTCCAGCTTGCATTTATTTGAGATAATATCCTTAAGAAACTTCGCGTAGCTAGGCATCTGGAATAGTGCATCTGCTAGCGGGATGTTGATATGGAGCTTTTTGAAGATTTCTAGGAATTTTTTGTATTGTTGCTCCATTTTTTGCTTCTTCAATCGCTGTGGAAAGGGAATCGGAGGCTCGTACGGGTTGACTGTGCTCTTGGCCTTATCCTTTGATTTTTCTAAATCTTCCCTTGGAGTTGATTCCTTTACAGCAATCTCATCTTCAACAGGGGGGATGTCTCTACAGTCGCACTTGGTCTCTTTACATGGATTTCAGGTAATTGCACTCCACTTCGAGTTGTAATAGCCTTAGCTTGCTCCTTAGGGTTGATCTCTGTATTACTTGGCAAGTTACCTGGCGTTCTACCAGTTAATGCAATAGCTAATTCCCCCATCTGAGTTTCCAAATTTTTGATGGCTGCATTTTGATTTTGAAGTGTGGCTATCACATCCTCCAGTTGAGGCCTCTTCTCTTGTTGTTGAAATTGTCCCTGTGGCTTGTTCTGATTTTGGCCGCTCCAAGAGAAGTTGGGATGCTTCTTCCAACTGGGATTGAAAGTCTCCCCATATTGATTTTGTTGTTGGCGTTGTTCCCACTGTGCATAGTCTGCTTGCTCAATTCCTTGCATTAGTATAGGGCATTCTGATGTCTTATGTTCAGCTCCACATTCTTCACAATTGTTCTTCTTAACTTGTGCTACTTGTGATATGCTTTCCACCTTGTGGTATAGAGAATCGATTTTTGCTGATATTGCTGAATAAGCATCCACTTCGTAGACATCTGGAGTCTTCCTTGGGATCGCCTTCTCAGAAGACCACATGGCTGATGTGGTAGCCATTCTCTCAAATAATTTCAATGCCCCATCAACTGTTTGTGTGGATATTGAGCCATCTGATGCTGAATCCACCATGCTCTTATGATAAGGAAGTAGTCCTGTGTAGAAGAATCGGATTTGGGTCTTTTTGTCAAACCCGTGTTGAGGGCACTTCCGAAGTATGTTTTTAAACCGGTTCCAAGCTTCGTCAAATGATTCGGTTTCTCCTTGACTGAACACTGATATGTCATGTTTCAGCTTCGCTATCTTGGCTGGGGAGAAAAACTTTGTGCAGAATTTATGTGACAACTCATTCCATGTAGTGATACTTGCGACCGGAAGTGAATCCAACCATTCAAGTGCTCTGTCTCGTAAAGTATGTGGAAACA